GTGTGTGTGTGTATAAAAAATTATAACAAAAATATAAAATCGTTAATATAGTTTTCTTTACATGTACACATATAATAAAATTATATATATATGTGTGCGTATGTGTACATACGTATACATAAACCTGTTTTTCATTCTTTTGAATGTAGAAGGTGTAACGTAAAAGCTAAAAGAACAGATTCGGTGGTATACTAACACAGAGAAAGAAATGACATAACCAATCTGTGAAGCTACTTTTACAGAAACTCTGAGTTTTTCCAAGAGTCCTGAAAATCTAAGAGATAGGTCTAGCGGTCTGTGTAGTTATAATCATCGATTCTCACTAAGAACGAGAATCATGTTGAACGAGGAATGACTACGAGATGTTACGAAAGCGATATCGTGAAATACATCCTGCACGAAATAATCCATTCACGCGTGACTTACCCTGATCGACGTGGTCACCAGATTCCAAAAGCTGGCTTGCATCATACCTTCAAAATATGAAAATACACCTCTAATTCCGACAATAAATGAAGGAGGTATATAAAGGGGAAAAAAAGTTCGGCAGTGAAACTAAAAGGTCTACCGGTTATCACGCAGGTTCGCCTTTCGGAAGATATGCTGATAATTCAGTGATTACAGAACACACTCAGTTTGCAAAAGGCGTCAAAAGATGGCGCCAGGAATTCCATCTATCTGTCAGCTATATATTTTCTATATGTATGTACTACTAAAAGATTCAAGAGTGCGTGCAGTATCATGTACATATATGTATAATGCTATATATTTCGTTAAAATAGCATATTAAAAAAAGTCATCTCTGAAAAACAGCAAAACAATTCTATTCGGGAGCGAATATATACATATGATTCTTGAATCGTCACGTGAGTATAGAATATCACGTGTTATGTTATTACTGCTCTTACTATACTAATTAGCAAGCAATATGTCTGAAATTTAGATCTAAAAATGTTAAAAAAGTGTTTCCTTTTTAACATCTTTTAATGTTATTAGGTTATCTTCCTTTCTGCTCTTATTTAAGTTGGTCAGTTAAACAGTCTCTTAAATGCTTTTTTGATATGACATTCGCGGCTTTCTTTTTCTAATACTTTTCCAATATTTTTTCCATTGCTTAAAATTTTTTTTATTAGTAAACATACATAATATTTGGTGTTTTGATTGAAAAGAATTTTTTTACATCTTTTCATTTTTAACATTAAGCAATCGAATTAAATTGGTATATGTATTGTTTCCATAGAGTGTAGCGTTTAAGAGCCATCGTGGCATCCAAAAAAATTTAAGCAATAAAACTACAACATTATGCTTACGCAATTGTAGAATAGGCTTTAGTTAATTTCCTTGCTGCTTACGTCTTACTATGCTTAAGTTTGTTTGTATTCCATGGTCCTAAAAGGCCATGCATAATATGCAAATATAGCAAATCCAACATGTTAATTTTCTTGTAGCTTACTTTTTATTTATTGTTTAAGTTTTTCTGTGTATCATAGTCTTATAGGATTATTAAGGGTTAAGAATGATAATTGTCTATCCTTTTTCGATTAATCATTTTTTAAGTTTACAGATACATCAATCTCGAAAATTAATACTTAGCTCAGTAAACACTATTTATTAACAATAATCTCATACTTGTCGATATTTATGTCACTAATTGTGAAGCACTCAGTCTCAACAATGTAAATGCAATGTACACTTTAAGCAACTCTAAATAATTGGAATTAAATCTCACTCCAAAAGAGCGAATATATAATGTAAATTTCACGTTTTGGAAATTGTTACTCTCACATTGTTGAGTGTAAAATTATAATATTGATATTATGTTATTTTTAGTTGATTTTTGTTAAAAGTTTGTTCTATTAACTTTGCAAATTGTTTTGTGTTAGATTGCATATAGTGTGTCGGAAACGAGTTCAAAATCTCATTTCGTATTCAAAATCTCTATTTTGAAATTTATCTGCCATCCTTTTCCCACCTACTAATTCATATCCCACTCGCGCGGATATATTTTATTTTTCTATTGGGCCTTTATATGATAAAAGCCAAATACATGGCAGTCGTTCTAACGTGCACGTCTGACATGTGCAATAGGATTGCGTTGCTAAGATCTTCAATAACAGTATTTCCTCCTTGTACCAGAAAATTCTTTCCGTTCCATTGTACTCGTACAGCTCTGTCCCAGATTTTTTAAGCGGTGTATCTCGTCACACAGTGTCTCGAAATCAAGTTCATAATTACTAGCGACCGATTGGTTGTCTGCTCCGGTTAAAACATCATTTACTGCTGCTTCGAACCTCTGTGTTAATGCGAGATATTTTTTCGTTTCCGTCTTAACTTTTATTTTTTTAAGTACAGATACACATCTATCGCATATTTCAGTGTCCACTTTAGATCTTTATCTACTTGAAGCCATGTCTATTGCTTTTGCAAAACCAAATAATAAATTAATATCTGTATCCATGTCAATTATTTCATTATAGTAATCTAAAAAAAACAAAAACAAAATAAAGATAATTATATATATATATATGAAAGAGATATATGTTGACGTGTCTAAGGATTATGATGTCTAACAACGTTATTAACATAATGTTGTTATGGCGGCACACGATAAAAAAGAAGAAAATAATATAAGTGTACAAATTAGTTCGGTTCGTTTTTTATGTTCAAAAATGCATTTATTTCAAAACAAAATGAATAAACAGATTAATTAAAGTATTGTCCATCGCTGGCTACTACTTTTTCCCATCTCTCAGGCAATTTTTGAATTCCATCTTGAAAAAATGACTCGTCTTTGGAGGCGATCATCTTTTGGAAAACGGACCGAACTAATTTGTACTCCAATACGTAAGAGAAATAATTTTTAATGACTTGTATAAAAGTAATAATTTCCTTTTACAAATGTAATATATTTGTATTTTCGATTTTATAACAATTACAAAAATTCTATTTATTTCATAAGTAGAGTTTCAAATTAATCGAAAAATGTGTCAGACTGTCCACGACGTCATTTTCAAAATCAATGTGCAGAAAGAAGAGAAAAGAATCTGTTGTGATTCATCGTTTGCTAAATGAGCATCGAATTGTTTCATTCTGCAGCTTCAAAGGAAACGAGATCGACGAGAGTGGAGGATGAACTTTCAACGATTGATAAAGACACCGAAACACGCCAAAGAATTTCTTCCTTCGGCGAAAGTCGCGGATCGATTGACGCATGAGCACTTTAGGCGGCGTCACGACGCCGCCAGCGTCGTCGTCTCGCCTATGCATCCCCATGTCGGTATAATTCACGACGAGAGCCCCACGATTTTCGGTTTTCTCTGTGGGTTAGGTCGCATTGTAGAGTGGAAGAAGGGAAAGCATAACGAAAGGAAAAGGGAAAAAAATGACGAGGAAGGAAGTATGAATTAGGGCGATAAGGGGATGAAAGGGTGAAGAGCGAAACTCGAGAAGAGAGAGGGTAGCGGGATAATGAGAGAGAAAGAGAAGATGATAATAATAAAAGGGTCGGTAGTAGAATAGATAAAGGGCGAGGGAGAGACAAGGAAGGGACAGGAAAGAAAGAGAGAGATACTACATGAATAAGCAGTAATGGAAACGAAACTCGGAAGGGCCCCTCTTGCGCAAGGATACATGCATTTTAAATAAATTGATAATTGCACGCAAAAATGAAAATAATCTTTGACGTCAAAACATTCTCATATTATAATATATACTTTTAAAAATTTCTCATCCTTTAACATTCTTTCCCTTCCCTCTCTTCTCTCTCTAAAGATTATTTTTAAAAACATCTTAAAATTCTTCAGAATTTGTTTTTTTTTTTTTAAATTATTAAATAAGTAATCTTACTAGTATTTCAGAATTCACACATACAATATAAAAAATTCTAGAAAAGATATAAACTTTTTTAGTATTTCTAAAAAATGTTTCAACTCTTGTACAAAAAATTTAAGAAATTTTCTCTCAAAAATGTTTTTAAATAAAACATAAATTTCTCTCTCAGTAAACGTTACAATCAATTAAATTAAAAATAGACTGCAAACTAAACTAAAATCGCAATTCACAAAGTTATTTCTCCTTATTTTAACTTCTTAATCTTTTTTCAGAAAATTTTAAAGTAAAAAAAAGTTTTAAAGTTAGAAAAAAGTAACTAAATTTAGTTATACTTTTTTTTTTATTCAATTTAAATCCATAACAATCAAATAAAAAAGGAAAGAACAATAGAGTTAAAAATATTACAATAAATATCATTTGTTTTACATTTTTATCAGTAGAATCAGAATTCAAAAGAAAATATCCACTTAGATGTTAACTTTTTTTTTTAGATTAAAATCACTCATTTTCAGAATATTTTATCGTATAATTTTAATTGAATTTATTATACTAAAATTAAAAAATTCCTTATGAACATAGTGAATCATTATATAATAGTATAATGTTATACTCTTGAGACAATGTACGAAAAAAATATAAAATAATATATGCGCTGAATTCTAATAAATTTTATAGATCTGGCAGGTCCATATATAGAGATAAGCGCACACTTATGTAAAATTTAAGAGTTGTTTGTGCTCACTTTCTGAGATAGTGTGTGATTTACTTTATTGTGAAACATAATTACTTGAACGAATTTATTATAATTACAATGTATTATCTTAAACCTCTAATATTTTTACTTTCAGATAAGTATAGTTTATTATAAATTCATCAAAAATAGCCAGAATATTTTTATTACAGTCTTTTAAAGAAAAAATTACTCAACCATTTTTGTGTGTGTGTGTGTGTAGCAAGTTTCATCGACATTGGCGCCAGACCACTTTTCCACGCGTCACCCTGTACATTACGCGTGCGTGGTATGAGCGTAACGATCCCTTGTACGTGCGAGAGAGAAAGCGAGACTTATGGAGAGCGAAAAGGGAGAAGAAAGAGAGGTGAACGTCTCGCTCGCCGAGGGGTGTCGCGGGGCAACAGATGTCCTTCCGCATGACGCACGCGGGGTGGTCGTCCCTCGCGGAGTGGTAGTCTCGCGTCTGGTGGTGTCTGTGTGCGTCACGTCGCGAAACTGCGGAGGATCAACCGGGTAAAGGATCTCGTTAGACGGAACGGGTAAGAGTGACTTATGTTATACAATCACCGATTCACCTTGGTGAATCTACGCGTCCGCCCTGTGATCCAACCCCGCGTGCATTGATGCGTAAGGTACGATTGCATATCCCTTCTGTTGGAAATGTCAAAAATTTTGACGCTGCAAACGAGCGCGATCGAGAAGATATCGTGTTATTTCCACCCTGTATGAGATATATTTAGCTCTTGACGTATAGCTCGATTTATTCGCCGATGTTACGCAAGTTAAGCAGTTTCGTTTTCGAGGATAAGCCGCAACGTTGTCTCTCGTAGATGTATGAAGTAAAGTCAAATTGAACGATATGTGATAGGACGGAATAGTTTTGCGAAAATTTTTATCTAAAAATTTAACTATGGACTTAAAAATATAATAATTTTGTTAGCTATCAAGATAACTCTTATACTGCAGAAATATCTCGAACATATCGAATATACTGCAGACGATGTCTTTAGGCTCTCCTTATGGTATAATTTAGACATTTATGCTGTACGGGATTATGTAGGATGCTTGAATTAGTTGGTAGAATGTCAAAACTTTTTTTTATCGGCTGCATTTGGCAGGAAAAATAGCTTTACAATTATAAAACTCTTTAACATGATTGGTCCTGCTCTTAGTTCCTCACTAGATCTAATAATGTATAAATCAATCATGTTAAAGAATTTCACAACAGTATGGAAAGCTGCTTTCTCTACTGAACGCAGCCATTGCTCATCATGCTTGAAATTCTTATGTAATTATTTTGATAGTTGAATAGAATTATTTTCAGATTAGTATTAAACTTTTAAATATTCTAGCAAAATTGTTCTTCCATATAACAATCGCGCAGTATACATATACCTATATATATTGATAACGTCGTTTCAAAATCTATTTTAAAATGTCCTTTCATATTCACAGTCTTCTCGTTGATCCGTAAATAATCATCGGAAATTCTTTCAGCCGTTCGTCTGCGAAATGTACGCGTGAAATGTCGCTGGACGTACGCCGCGCGGCTTTCTCCCGACGAAGGGCATTCTCTGGTTAGCGCATGATGTGCGAGGTATCGAAGAGCCAGCGCAGGACGTTCCGGGACCAGGATCCACCGCGAATATGCAACAAAAGCGCAGAGAACCTGCTACGAGACGAGCTCGAGTTCTCGCGCTCGACTCCAAACTCGCCGACGTCTCTCCAGCGCGCCGCCAGCCTCGAGAAGTGCTTCAGCGAGCCTGAATTCTTCCAGAAGCAGCGCGAACTGCTCTCGAAGCACGAGGAGCGGTCGAAGGAAAAGGACGGCGACGGTGAGGACAGCGTTACCCCTGGCTCCGCACGTGTGGACGACGATTCCGGGAGTACGGCCGCGAGCATCGAGGATCTCCCGAGGGAACTCTCTGTCAAAGTGCCTTCCCCTTGCGAGCAGGCGAGTGAGGTATGTGTGAATAATCGTGCAGCCGAAAAGGAGTCTTCAGGAAGACAAAACAATCTTCTCGTCAATTTCTTCATCATTCTTTTTGCAAAGTCGACTCCGTGAAAAAATTATGAAAAAGTTGGCAAGAAGATTGTAAATAAACCACATAGAGGCCCAATTTTTCATTATCTGATTAACTTGTGGTTAAGCTGATGTTTTACTCACTGGGATCATCATAAATGACATGAGTGAAACCCATTGGATAAAATATCGGGTTAAATCTAATCACAAGTTAAAAAATGAAAAGCTGACCCTGAGAGAAAAGTGTTTGGTATTTGTGATTGTAATTGCATGATAAAATAATTGTGGTTTCAAGTTCCATTTTTGCAGTTATTAACTTACTGCTATAACGTTAGTATTGATAATTATATTTAAAGTTCTATATATATATGTATATATAGAAAGACTATAAATAATAAATAGAAGGAACATAAAAGTAACACGCAAGATCTTTGTCGCGCAAGTCTTGTATTTAAAATATTTATGTTAACAAGAATGTAATAAAACGTAGATGCTTCGGCCAAGATTACTAAATCAGGCCATCTTCAGTATGTCAATGCAATAAAATATTGATGTGTAATTAACAAATTATAAATGAGTGTAAGAATAATAAAAATGTCATAAACTAAATCGATAAATTGATTATATTATCATGCTATTGTATAGTCACAAATTCATAACACTTTCCACTTTACTGTAAAGAAACATTTACAAAAATAATTGATTGACTAAGAGACTTAAATAATTAATTACCGACTCCATTCGCTTCGTCGTTGATTGTTCTCATTTAGAGATTTTATTAGAAAGTTATTGGGATAATAATCGGATTATAGTGTTATATTCAAGCATCTATTTTTTAGAAATATCAGGTCATTAGATAAAGAAACAATATGGAGCATCGATTGGCTCACGTTTCGTCTTGATTTAGTTATCAACGTCGACAAGATTCTCATAAAATAACTAGAAAAAAGCTAAATGCTAAATATATCACGCGTCTATTCAAGGATACTCATCCAACGATATTTAAAGCGTTCTACATACATCTTGAAAGTCTTTTTTAATCGAGAATTCGAAATCGAACGTTATTTCTTTTTGTAATTTCTCCAGAACTTGTAATCACCTTAATGTTTTTACACGACTTACGACGCATTTTCCAAGCATCGATGTTCACTACTTTTTATGGCTCACTTAACCCGTTTTTCTATATGTGGAGAAATTAAGCCTTATCGATTAGTAGCAATATAACACCGAGAACGTGACTGCCGCGTATTGCGCGACAACAAAAATCTTAGATAAAGCGGTAGGTTGCGAACGTGAGTCACGGGTGTTTTTCGCTTTGGAAATTGGAAAGGTTGCGTCGAATTTTCCAGTGAAGAAACGTGTTTTTTATGGAATAAAGAAATCTTGTTTGATTTAACGCAACGGAGAGACGTGTTTTGGACCCGGTGGCTGACGTTGCCACCGACTTGGTGCCCGATCCGGTCGCAACGGTATATTTCTCAGCCGACTTCTTGTTCTTCTTTATTGGTACTCGATCCCCAAAACGGGTTCTATTCGGCTAGCAACAATAATCGGGTTAAATAAAAACAGAATAGTATTAGATAAATAAAATACAAATGTATCAGTTTAGCTCGAGCCAAAATGGCCCTTGAATTAATTTTCATCATTTTTACAGAAATTATTAAGTAATTCTTATTATATTTAACAATTTTTTATATATTTTTCACGTCTTTGAAAAGTATTTGTAAGATTATATATTTTACAAATTTTGTGTAAATATAGTATCTATTTATTTAGTCTTCTAGTATAATATTTTAAAGAAAAAAAATGCGTACATTGTTAAATTCATAAAATGCTAAATTATATTTTTAATCATTTCTATACAAGTCGTCATTGTTTAATATATCATTAATTTAACTAAAACATCGTAGTTAGACTATGTAATTTAAGAAAATGTAATTAAATTTGACTCAAATTTAATTTATTACTTTCTCTCTAAACTCATCGAAATTGATTTTTACTTTAAAAAGTAAAAATTGAGTCAGTCTGGAAAAAGAGTTTATTCTAAAAGTTTTAGGGAATGCATACGTTAATGTGAAATTGTTTTCTTTGAAATTAATTACAGAAATAGACTGATTTACATTTTGAGCATCTAACAGTATATAGGATACTATATAATAATTTAATTGTGTATAGCTATATACTGAAGATTAAAGATAATGCACTGCTTGAACCGCGAAGCAAGAATACTTCCACTCCGACCAAGTCGCACGAAATTTATCTCTTGGTCGACGTGTACAGGTGCACTATCGACCTGCGCGAGAACATCGCCGAACCGAAGTATCGGAGGAAGCGTCACGTCTCGTCGAAGAAACAGCGAACGAGCTCGCGCGAATTCGTCGGCCGGCCTTCGCATTTGTTGATGAAATTTCGTGTCACGCTTTTTTTTCGAAACTCATCGAAACTTATGTAAGCGCGAGATTTGTTTCCCCAAACAATTATAAATTCCGCCTTTTATTGATCAGGAATAATGTGAAGATTATTGTGCAAGAAATGTAGAAATTTTTTATGTACCATTTTTTGTTTATATCATTCAGAACTCGGAGTATCGTAAAGTATGTTTAAAGTGAAATTGAACGAAGCAATTCTCTTCATTTCATTTTTAATTAACTTTATATCAGATTGAGAAAATAAGCCATATCAAGGTATATAATTCCCTAATTATAAAAGATTTACATATTTAAAAATGTTTACTATAGATATTCGTTTATGACGTGTCGTGCTAATTAGCGTCGTGAAATTTTCACGTATTGTTAAAATATATTTATCGTTTATATATATTCATATCATACAGATTTGGGTAATGCAATTTGCTGAAGAGTCTGCGTAATGACATTTAATTTTTAATAAACTTTAATAGAAAGTTAGAGAACAAAACACAAAGATATTTCGAGTATAAAAGGTATAAGATGAAAAAGTGTATGTAAAAAAAGAGGTATCGAAAAAAGTCTTAACAAAAATGGAGCCTGTTATTTTGGTTATGCAAGCTTTTTACTTATTAGGCAAGCATATTACTCATTTTACTTTCTTTATAATTATGAAATCTACTGTTACTTAAGATAAACATAGAAATTAAAATTCGTTACTAAAATTTACATATTTAAAAACTCAGATATTATAAATACTTGCGTATGGCGTGCGGTGCTAATTAGTCTTTGTAAAATTAAAATTTGTTATTTTACCTATATAATTTATATAGTTTAAAATTTAAACACAAAGCGAAGCCTATCGGTCAAAGCTAGATCAAGATGCTTATTATCATTAAGTGTGAATTTATATACCGCGTATGTAGTTCTCTCAATCGCGTGCCGAACATTTTTTCAGACTTACAACGCAACTCTAAATAACTACCGCGGTAATATCACTTTAGTTAGATTGACAATACAATCTAACAAATTTCGATGCTTATAGCATCTTATTAGATCTTAATAATATGTTGAAAGACATATATTAAAATTCAATATTAAAGTAATGATAATTGAAAACTGTGAAAAATAAGATTGCGAAGAATATCACAAGTTGGCGTTTCGTCCCGGCTTCCACTACTGGACTCATCAGTAAGGTAATGTAGTGGGAGCCTACCTTAGACGCTAGTGTAAGTTATTAAATCGAGACTCTATATAAAGAGACACACGTGTATCTCAGCACTTGCGAGAAATTTAACGAATATCAATTGAATAGACCTCTGATGGCGAGTCGACGTAATAATATTCTTCGCAATATCTGTCTATAAGAGTAGTAATAATAACGTCATTTTTCAGGCGACGTATATTTTAACAAATAATATAATCTTATTTTACGACCGTACATTGTTAAACAATAACAAATATCATATTTGTTATTGTTTAACAATGTACGGTCGTAAAATAAGATTATATTATTTGTTAAAATTTAAATATTAATATATAAATATTCGTCTGTGGCATATATGTTATACTCAATATCATACTAATAAGCGTTCGTAAAATTTTCACCAAATTTGTGAACTACTATAAAACATACTTATTTTTCATTTATATTGTATAAATCTCTCGTCGGTAATGCGACTTACTGGAGTCTGCGTAATAACTTGTTTCTTTATTTATGCTGATGGGGTGCACTATACATGTACGGTAATAAAGTTGCGTAAATAGATTCGAAACTAGCATTTATACCACTTGATACGCGTATGCCTGCTATCCTTGAGAGACTTAAGAAACTCTGTACGGTTTTATGGCTCCGCGTCACTTTCTAGACTCTTATCATTTTTTTATCATATAACCCGTCTGTACAAACCAATTCTCCCGGATTTAGCAATTGGATACGTTCTTCATTATCAGATAGGTTTATAATTATGCTTATATGAAGTTAAAGGGAAGGGTAACAAGTATTCACTAATGCGAAGAGTTTCAAGAATTGGGCAATATCGTGACATGTAGATGTAAACAATCTTATTTTCAATTAAACTTAGAAGAAAACGCAAATTTTACAAGGATAACGCATAATTTACAATATACATGTCATAACAATGAATTAAAATTATTGTTATTTAAATATATTAAATATGTAATATATCTAAATACATGAAATATATTCACAATAAATAGAGAATGTTAAAAATTTAAGAGTATATCTAAAGGAATTACTCAGTGAATATAAAGTTACATATAACGTATCTATTATAATTACAATTTCCCCATTCAACAATATGACTGTAATATAACACGTGTATATTAAATATATTACAATTATATTGTTGGATGAGAAATTGTAACTAACAGAGATACGTTACATGTAACTTAATTGTGTTCACTGGGTAGGGAAATATAAAATTTCAAACATATATATATATATATATATACAGGGTGACCCATTTTAACTTCCCCACCGGATTATCTTGAAGGGAATGCATTTTCTGAAAA